CAAAGTCTTTGGAAGGACTTTGCACACAGCCCCTGTTTAAGGTAGTGCCTCTATTATGTTCTCTTACCTTATATCTAAAAAGGAATTTCACTGCTTCTGATACTCACAATGAATAAAATGTTGCATTAAAGAAAACAACTCGGCATGCGGACAGGATGTGAAGGTAGTCAGTCTTCTGTTTTGTTATTGAGCACCTGGCATTCTTTTCTTTTATATTACACGGTTGATATCTACATCCCACAGGTCAGCCTGTGGAATAGAATATAAAGATAATTCTATAATAAAAGCTCTACAGTTTAGAAGATGCTGGAAAGAAAATAAACCAGGAAATAATTTCGAAGTTCTTACTTTCTTTGGAAGTACTCTGTATCTTGTGGACATCATCAAAGAACCTCTTTAGGAGATTCAGTCACAGTGACAGATAAATTGGTAGCAGAGGGCACCTCCAGGGAACCTGTTAGTGGCAGGAGAAAAGGTGAACAGGATGCAGTGGGTTTCAGGCACCACACCAGACCACTCTGAGAGGCAGCATCTCAGCAATCTGCAGACAGAATAACTCACACACTACAACATCTGCTGTTACCTTCAGCATTCATGACATGATTAGATACACCAGACTCAATTAAGGCACCATAATCAGGCCCACAGATGCAGCAAAAGATACGTGGGCTACTATGAAAAGAGAAATTCAAGTTCTTTGCAAAAGAAACATGCTCATACAGACCGAAGTGGTAAAAAAATGTCATGATATTCACTTTTTACATTAACACGTAAAACCATAGACTGAAATGCACAATTCATCCTTACTGAAGTAAATAAAAAACTCTGATCCTCAAAACCATCTACTAGTGAGAATTTCACACACAAAAAAAAAAAATCCTAGAAATACACCACTCAGACTCATGACATTACTTAATTCTACTACAGTCATTTCCACATCAGGTGACAGCAAGAAAACGTAACTTTACAGCAATACTGACAAGCCACAACAGTGTCCTGCATACACTAATTGAGAAGTTATCTTAGAGAGGACCTAACATTGTAACTTAGACTGGAATAAGTCTCTGTTAGTCAAATTCCTCACTGCAAAGCAGGAAGATCTGAACTTGAAGATACATCAGAAGATTCTTCATTTGAATCTTTTCAGTGTCCTGACTTCCTTCTCCCCTCAAACAGATTATTTAATCCAAGCTGCTAGTCAGCAAGACTTTCTGCATCAAGATCTCTCCAGTGGCTCAGGAAATGCCTGAAGGCCTCCTCACTCAAAAGGAAGCACTTACTGCATCTGCTGCTCTACTCTGTCAATTGTACTGTGCACAAGTGCACATCACAAATTATAGTCCTGGAAGCATAGAAGTGTGATCAAAAAAATTATAATGATCTTTTTTTCTACCAAACACATAATTCCAAAACTTTGAAAGTGGATCGGTTACTCTGAAGTTCTTTTCATTTTACTCAGAGAATAATATAATATTCAGCAATATAATATTTACTCAGAGAATAATATAATATTCAGCAATTCCAGTCACTTTGAACAAAGCTGCTTTAAAATTTTTTTTGCAGATGATTCATGAAGTAAAACAAATCTTTCTTTCTTTCTTCCTTGTAATAACAGCCTCATCACAAGACATCTGCTTTTTACTTATTACTTCTAATGACAGCCAGTAAAAGGATTCTGTAGGAGTGGCTTCACCTATGAGTCTACATATCTTTCACCTCTTCCAGTGCGAATATTCTCACAGTGCCAAGCTATTCTATTTAGATTTAGTGGCAGCTGATTTGAAGAGCTTTGCAGCTACACAAAACACAAAGTGACTTATCTCTGTGGAGAAAGACAGGAACATGAGAAACAGCTCCTTGCTGTGCAGCTTCCAAATCACATATTCTCCTCCCACCAACTTACTGTCTCTAAATTAAAAGTACATCAGCCTTTTCCCTTGACTATTCCAACTGTAAAGCATTTCCAGATCCCTACTGACCTTCATCTAAATTCTAATACCTGATGTCTTTCTAATGGTTTTCACGGCAAGGATCAGTAACCTCCTATGATTTTGTAACTTTAGTATATCTTTATTTTTTAGAGTATTTTTGTTTCGTAGCACAGACATTTCTGGGCGCTGTCATGCTGCATCAACACTATCATAAAAAATAGCTGAATCTCACATGGAAACATTTTTTTCTATCTCTGTAAAAATAAATAGTATTTGCTTTTTACAACTTGATGCAGAAAATTTGTGTTCCTTTTCATCCAGGGCAAGGCTTCTCCATTAAGTTTCTGTTCTAAAACAGAGAAGGGAGGAGAAAAAAACCCAAAAGCTTAATTTTTCTTTGGACTGTACAGAGAAACTAGTCAAGTCTTGGGGATGGGAATGTGGGTATAGAGTAAAGTAATAACATCATCCAAAAAGTAAAGTAATAACAACATCCGTACTGCCTGTATGTTTAGAAAAGCTTTTTTTTCATATAAAGTATATTGGAAGTAATATATCATTACACATGATACTCACTGTACTGGAAATAATTATACAACATTATGCATGTAGGCAGATATTATACAATGATGGTTTGTCTTGAAGTCATATTTTGGGTGACGTGCAAATGAATGCTTCTGCATATGATGCTGTCAGCTTTAGAATGCCTTAGTCTCCCCTGTTCCACAGTTTCCTGCAAAGGAAAAAGACTATAGATTGCCCCACATCGCCAGAACATATTAATTGGAACTGAAGCGAAAAAAAGCTTCAGCTGAAGGTAGTGAACACCTCAGCTCATCTGTCACACTGTTATACTAGAGATTACAATGTGATAAAAGAGTTTATATCTTGATCAATTTTACTTGTGCAGAAGGAAAATATTTTGAGTTTCTGTTATAAACAATGAATTAGCTCTATAGTTGATAAGACTAAGCACACAGGTCTGGAAACAGAGCAGATATTGGCACTAAAATAACACAAAAATGAGCTGAGTTGAGAATGACGGTTGAGAAAGACACACTGAAAATGTACTCTTGAATTTCAGGTCAAAGAGTAGCATTAGTAGTCAGCTGAAGAGTGCAGACTGCATAATAGCAGCCTGCGTTATAATAATAAAGCTGATCTGAGTTTCGATCTTAGTTTCAAAATTTTGTGTATGTCGCTGGAAATGTTTGCAGTCCATTATACACAGCAGCACACTCAAAGCAGCTGGGATCATACCAAATACCCAGGTTTTCAAAAAACTTTCTCAGCAACACAGTGCTCTCGCTATCAGCCAAGTGAACTGGGAATATGGATCCTAAATAACCAGGACAGGTTTGCCTGGATTCATAAGACAACAATGTTAAGTTTGATCTGATATAATAAAGTTTGCTCCAAAACAATAAAGTTTGCTCCAAAACCAGGCTCCACTTCTCCAAGAGCAGGAATGGGGCTAACACAGCTGTTAGCTGTGCTCCTTGGTGTTACTTGTCATTGCAGGGGCTCCTCAGGTGCTTCAGCTCTAACTTAAAGCTGTGGAAAACCTGAAGCTGGGTGACAGTACGGTGGCACCAACCTGTAATCTTGATCTTTTGGTGCAACTGCCCAACATGCAACATGCAGGGATGAAGTCTCAGGTCTGAAATAAAATACAGCTTGGCTTTTGCATGAGTGGTACCCCTCATCAGCCTCCCATTCCCAAGTATGAGACTTTTGACCTCCTGACTTTTCAAAAATAAAAAGGCTGAGGGATTTTTTCAACTAGAAGATTGTTTTCTTCTCCCTCAAACTAACTCAACCAGCCATCTCCAGATCCACAATAGTACCAACAACAACATTGCTTTCAGTTAGATCAGCCTTTACAATTTCAGCCCAAACCATGACTTTTTAAAAAGTCATGAGCCCTTAAGAACAGCACAATATAAATTAAATGTTTGTAATTTTAATTTTAATGGTCACTGCTTGTTCTTGTTCTGTCAATGCTGCCCTTTCTGTAGAAACTTAGATCATTAAAAAAATATTTTTGAGTGGTCTTACATTACTTTAATATTTGATGTCTTCCACTAATGCATTTAGATATATTATTCTAATGTGTTGGGAGCTTTGAGGTACCTCATATTCTGGAAGAAAGACAATTAGGCAGTTCTTGTCAGTATAGTCATGCAGTTAATGAAATATCTAATAATACAGTTCATCCATTAGTGGGCTATACCACAATTTAAACACCTTACTAATTCCCAAAGCTTTAGTTTATCCTAGCCATGCTTGTCCCTGAGGCCTATGAAGAGCTCTGCAAATACAACAAAATGAGAGTCCAGGAGTAATGAATTTTTGCTGCTCAGCAGTGAGAGCCTTTCCCTTCACATTACTGTTCAATGCCTTTGTCTCTTCATTTTATTAAGAGATAGCACTGATAGGCCTTCCATCTACTTTGTGTAAACACCTTGACATGCTCCTGCATCCTCTTTCCCGAGACAATGCTGTTCTGATTCGCTCCAGGACAATTCCCAGGTAACAAACTCATTTTCAGCAACTTCACAAGGCGGGTCTGTGCTTCGCACCACGGGATGTGGGCTCGGCAACCCAGGAATGCAGAGGAGGTCGTCTCCGGGAGATGAGGTGTTACCTTTCTGGATCTCACTCCATCCACTCCAATCTTAGTTTTCTTTGCGACGTGTGCTCTGATCTAAACTAAATACACAGCAGCGTTCACACACCGTCCGTGCTTTCACTCAGGATCTTTATTTAGCCACTTTCAGTCACACAAGAGTCTCTTTCCATACGGACCCCCAGCCCGGCCAGCCCTACCCTGCCCTGCCCTGCCCTGTGCTGCCCGGCCGGGCCGCGCACCCCTGCCGCCGCCATGTCGCCTTGCGCACGCGAGCGACGCCTCCTCCCCCGTGCCCGGGGCGTGCGCGGAGAGAGCGGGGCAGCGGCGCTCCCCGGCGCTGCCGTTCCCCGCATCCGCCGTCCCGAGGGCTCTCCCTCCGCTGCTCCCCCCGCAGCCCCGCACTGAGGACGCCCCGGGGCCGCCAGGCCGCGCTCAGCCCGCGCTCAGCCCGCGGGGGCGGCGCCTGCCGGCGGAAAGTGCTGAGTCACGGCCTGACGCACGGCCGCCGTCACGTGCGGCGCCGGGGTCGGGGCGGCCGCGCCGCGGCTCGGAGCGCAGAGCGCACCCGCGGCTCGGAGCGCACTCGCTCCGCTCGCTGCCGCTCCGCTCGCCTGCCCGACCTCTCCCGCTCCCTCCCTCGCTCCCTGCCGGCATGGGGCTGCTGTCGCAGGGCTCGCCTCTGAGCTGGGAGGAGACGCGGCGGCACGCGGAGCACGTGCGGCGGCACGGCATCCTCCAGTTTCTCCACATCTACCGCGCCCTGCGCGACCGCCACAAGGACGTGCTCAAGTGGGGCGACGAGGTGGGTGAGACCCCGGCCGGGCGCGGCCTCCGCCGCGGCCTCCGCCGCTCGCGCAGGTGGCGGTGGGTGCGGGCCGGGCCGTGCCCGCCGCGGTGCCCGGCAGGGCCCGCTCTCGGCCGCGGCGGCTCTGCGGGAGGGGACGGTGCGGAGCTGCCCGGCGGGGCTTTGTTTACCCCGCACACACACACACACACACGCTCGCCGCCTGTCGTTGCGCAGCGCGGCTGCCCCCGTGTTAGCGCTCGTTACCATCACGGCTGCCCCACTGTTACCCGCCTTTCCGAAACGCTAACACAACTTCCAGTGTTCCCGCCTGGCAACGGTCGGCTGGCCTGGGCAGCCCCTCGGGAGGTGCATTCCCGGGGCGGCGATGCCCGGCATCGCCGGGCTTCTTCCTCGTTATGTTCTCTGGAACGAGGTGTGAGTAAAGCATGTGTGTGCCGAGACTCCACGGCAGTGCCAGCCCAGCCTCTGACTCGGTTTTTGGGAGGCGAGCGAGGGAAGCAGGACCGAGGATGTGCGAGTGGCTCTGCAGTGACAGCCCGCTCGCCGCGCATTGTCCCTCCTGGATCCCCGTGGAGAAGGACCTGCTGAGCCTTGTTTTACCCCAGAGTCTCCCGGGCGTCCCGTACGTGTCAGCCTGCTTTCCGAACAAGGATCAGGATGATCACTTGGGTCATGACTTGAACTTTGTTACAGGTGCTTTGTGCTCAAGCACCGTAACTTTAGCCACAGGTCTTAGAAGTATTGCCCTGTAAACCTGTGCTGAGTTGTGCCACAGCCTGACAGCACTCTACAAGGAGCAGAGTCTGCTCTGTTGATCCGAAGGGTTGTCCGAGGGACCCAGCTTCCCCTGGAGACAGGGAGCAGCTTCACATGTGCTGCACTACAGGCTATCCTTGATCGCAGTGTTGGTGAGGTCCAGCGTTGGTCACTTAGAGGTGTCTGTGATGTGACTGCAGGGAAGTTGGAAGAGCAGAGTAGGATGCGAATAACGTGGGAACTTGGCCATTGCATCTCTGTGTCATACACAGTTCACTTTCTGAATGGCAAAGGCATTCAGAGAAAACTTTATCCAGGTGGTACCAGTAGCTGTTCACAGATGCTCTTTGCCAGACTTTTTTGCCATGAGCACCTTGAGAGAACTTGTCTCTTAAAGTCTGTACTTCTTTTAAGGAATCCTTGTCACTGTTCACATAACAGCAGGAACTGCTTCTGTGAATGAATGGGGCTTGGCTACTGAAATCTGTTCAGTGAAAGTACATGTTGTCTGCACCACAGGGTTTTGCAGCTAGAGTGGCATGGACTCAGGAAATTTAAATATACTTCTGTCTCTCCCTGTCTGACGTCTCTGTGTTCCTACATGTCTTATATGACTGAAATTATGCTAACAAAAAAGCCTCACAGCCTTCAGTCCAGAAATAGAGACATTCTGCACATTGCTCTGAGACTTAGCTTGAGGGGTTTCTCATTAATCTTTAAGATAGGATGCTCATTTTTCAAGGGGTGTTAGATTTTAATTGTGTTGCTTTCTCAGAGTGAGATTTCACAAGATAGCTAAAGCTCATCCATTAGCAAGCTGGTTCAGCTTCCCTCCCAGGCTCCAGGCTTGTGTTTCTGCTGCCTGCCTTGTGTTTTCCGAGTTCAAAAAGTTAACCCAGCGGAAAACTTTTCTCCCATTCAGTTTTTAAGATAGTTTGTTTTCTCAGCAGAGCTTCAGATCTTTCACTGCTAGATCCAACAAATTCTGCTTAATGTGAGGAAAGTAGCAGGAGCATGTGGAGGAAAGGGTCATGCAGAGCTGGTCTCTGCAGCACCTGCAGCTGGTCATTTGGTAATCTTAGCTGTATGGTGACACTGGACTCTGGCATCCTCTTTCTTCCTTCGGCTAGGGAACCATACTGAACAAAGTATTTATGCTCAGTAAATAGTGGTGCATTATGTTTAAGGAGATTCACAGTTTTCTTCTGTCATGCCCAGCATGGCAAGAGGCAGAATTTTAAGAGCAGTATCATTAAAGCCATAATTTTGATGAGAGGTAAGAGCCGTTTTTGTAATGCTTGTGAACATTTAGAGAAGGTCAGATAACCCCATTCACTGACTACCTCTTCACTTTAGCAAATGGTAATAAACTCAGGTGTGGCAACTTACCTTTGTTCTACTGTGTTATGCAATTATATATTTTTATGTAACACAGCATTTAGGAGTGTGTTAATGAACCAGGGACTTGTAGCCAGTCTGCTCTTGTTGTGCAAACACAAAATCATACCTCTGCCCATAACTTAGTTGAGCTGTGCTGTAGATAGGCTAGTGCAGAAAGCAGTACATTTGTTTTCCATTTTTCCTCTCAAATTATTAGAAAGTGGTGCCACATTTACATGCAGCTTAGATGAATCAACTGACTAATTGGACAGTTTTCATAAAAAGCCTTTTGTGCACTTTGACCTTCATGTATAACGTCATAGCCTGAGGGTATTTAATTGTTTTAAAAACTGCTTGAAGATAGAAATCAAGAATGTAATGGTAGAAATAAAATTTTAAAAAAAAATTACTTTTGTGTTTAAGAGATGTTTCTGAGACAGCATTTGGTGAAAATGTATTTTCTAATTTTTTTAAGGAATGCTCATTGAGGAAAAAAGCCAACTTTTTTAGTACATACTGAGTTTGTCTGTCACGGCATACGTGTGAATACTTCAAAGGTTGTCCCCGTCTAGGTGATGCCATTGTGTTTGCTCAGTAGTATAGAACTAGCCTTTACTTTGGTTTTGTTTTCAGTAGGACTCCACTTTTCAGTGTGTGTTGTAAAACTCATAAAACTGTGGTGATCCTTTGGGATCACAGAATATCCTGAGTTAGAAGGGACCTACAAGGATCAGCAAGACCAACTTTTAAGTGAGTGACCCATACGGGGATCAAACCCACAACCCTGGTGTTATTAGCACCGTGCTCTAACCAACTGAGCTAATCTCAAGGATGCTTGTAACTTCCTAGGGCCTCCATTCCCTGACATCCCAAGGGAATAAAACTGGGGAGTCATCTTGTACTTTCTGTTTCTTGGGTGCCAGACCGAAGTGTTGAGGCTAAGTGCTAATGGATGGTGGCGTCTGTTTTGAAGGGAGCAAGACAGCATCACAACTTGCCCTGCAGGGTAGCATTCCCTAGTTCTCTCATCTTCTCCTCAGTAAAGAGCTGAAAAGGTCAAAACACTTCTGCTGCCTCTTGAAAAGTCAGCTCTCTTACTGCTTGCAGGGTTAGTAGAACCAAGAGCTGTTATCTCTTTTGAGGTAAGTTCTTTTTTACTCTGTTTTCTGCAACCATGGAGTCTTTGCAATGGTAGAAAAAAAAAAAGCCTACAAAATATGAGTGTAACAGAATAAGGCTTGCTTTAAAAAAAGCTTTCTAAAGGTCTCCTTGAATCTACATTTGCAGGTAAAGGTATTTTGTCTCTTAATCATCCTTCTGCCTCATTTAAAACTGACAGTTGGCCTCCCTGTTTATGCTTGACTTCTCCTGACTGTGGGGAATACAAAACGTTGAACTATCTCATTATCCCTCATCAAACCCCACTTTACTATCTGTGCCTTAATGCTCACAAAAGTTGGGCAACAATTAGATATGCTGAGGAGAGCCTGTCACATTAACAAGTATGATCTCCTTGTGTTTTTGTCTTCCTCTTCCATGCAATAATGTATTCTAAACTTTGGGTTTGCAGAGTCATGATCATTAAGTTTTATTTCATTTGTTGTTTTTTTTCCAGAATCAAAAACCTGCAACTTTTCAATACTGTGTGTTAGAACTCCAGTAGAGTTAGCAGATACAATTAGTTAGCAGAAACAATTAGTTTGTGCAGCTTGGCAGATCTTAGTGGTTTAAACTAGAAGACTTTAAAGGGTTTTAGACAGTAAGGCAGAGCCTATTCTGCTTATTCCCAGCTTTTGTCCCAAAAAGCTCTCTTCTATGCTGTTTTGTGCCACTTGTGTGCTGATTGCATTCCTCTAAGTGATGGACATCGCTTAAATTTCTCTTTGCAGCTTTATGCAGACACTGGGGTCAGACAAGTGGAATGGCTGGCCCTTGGCTGGGCTTGCTGCTGCTGCTGCTTTGTGTTGAGTGCACACACAAGTGTAGGAGTCACAGCAGCTCATCCTTAACTACAGATAACATGTGTGTTCATACCTGCGTATAGTACTTGTCTTCCATGGTCTTCAAAGACTTAGGAGGAGCTGCTTCATCATATGAAAATTTCAAGAAAGGTGTGCTGGAGGGAGATCCCCTCAGAAGGAGGGGATGTAAGAAGCAAGCACGGGCAAAACACGACAATTTTGTTTTAAAGTATATGTGAATCAAATGGGAACATGACTTGCTCAGCCTTGTTTAGTGAAATTGGACATAATGGCCCTTTTGTTGTGTATAAGTCTTGTTCCTGTCAGTGTTTGGACCCAGCACACAATAAGCATCTTCAGCTTTTAAAAGCTTGTTTTCTTAATGGAAACTTGAAGTGAAACTTGGAGGCCTTTAAAGATGTTTGATAACTATGTGTATGAGGCAACATGAAAAATGTGCCACTGCACTGCTTGCAAGTTGAAATCTTACTGAGTTAATTCTAGTTTGGTTTGAGGTTTGGTTGTTTGTTTTGTTTGCTTCCTGTTACTTCTTTCTCAGCCCTTTTTAAGCGTCCTTTGGTCTTTCTTCTGTACATTCGATTTATTCCCCTCCTTATCCTTTAGTTTTTTAATTATACCTTGTAAATAAGTTAAATGAGAACTAAAAAGAACATTGCTAATCAGCACTTCCTCATGTGAAAAGCAAAGCAGTCCTTCTCAGATGCTGCAAGAGGCCAGAGGTTTCTTACCTGAATGTCCCAAAGGTATTGCTCCTGTTTAGAATATGCAAGACTCTTTAAAGCTTTCTCCTTTTTCCTAATGAAAGGCTGGGCTGTGAAAAGAGCTGCGTTTCCTTTTGAGTGATTCTTTCTAGGTAACTAGCAGTTGCATTAATGTCTTGCTACAGTTTATAGCCTATTCTGGTTTTGTTTTTTTTCAGGGCAGTAGCAATGTATAAGTGATATGATCAGAGATGTTACTTTACAGTCTGCAGAACTTCAGACTGGTAAAATTATTGCTGCATTTTAAGGAAGTGGATTTGGGTTCAAATGCACACAGTTTGAGGCTCTGGTTTGTCTGTCACCTATTTAAAACCAGGCAAAAAATCTAGGGCGTTTTTTAGCAGGGGTGAATCTAGTTCACCAACTGCATAAAATAAGTACAGCTACTATCTCTAGAATACACAGTTGAAATTTTAGTCATCTCTTTGCTAAAAGACAATAATGAGGCTTCGTGAGAGACACTTGTGCACAAGTTCAAGAAGAGGTAAGAAAGGACCAGAACTGGTAAAGAAAAGAGTAGGTTTAGAGAGCATCACAGTGTACAGGAAAGGTGGTGTTCTTTTCTCACTTTACTAGAAATTTGGCTAACCTAATGGAACAGAAAAGCAGATGTCCTTTTAAGATAGTTATTTACTTCACAAAGTCTAGGTGTCTTGTGGAACAAGATGCCACATGATAGCTTTGAAACTA